TGATTCATCATAAATAAATTCAATGATGTGGTGTGTCGGACACTTGATGGGTTTTGCCAACATTGAATGACTGAACTTGCACACCTGTTTACCCTACTAGATTAGAGCACGGATTAAACGGTTTCAGTTGTGATGCCATATATCGAAGAGCTGTATGCAAACCATGCTTCATTTCTTAGTGTCAGCGGTTGTGACCTGTACCGTCCGTAGTAAAATTTCGCTCCTGCCAAACTGTCATTTGAAACCCAGTCCCAGTCTACCTACTTCACAGTGAATTTCAGGCAACAAATCGAGTATAACGGAGCTGAGGGTGAGTTCATTAGTACGTGTCTATAGAACACGTTTTACAACGAATTCATCGTGCACCTGAATAATTCGCCTGATCTGACACGACAGTTCATTTGGAACGGATGCCAAACTGTTAGCCACGTCACGTCAGTTCCCGCTCTTCTATCTTATGAGATGTGCGTATTCCAAATCAGTCCGGAACTGCTGTGCTACTCAACCCAAAGCCAGCTAATTAGGACAAGTAGGACCTGCACACAGAAAAGTCTTTTTATTAAGTCATGTACGGACAAGTAACACGGCATTGTCCGGACTGCGTGCATCTCTTCCCTTCCCCCCCCCATGGGAGAAGTGGCTTTCCAAATGGCACAAAACTGAAGGGTTTGGTACGAGCTAGGGAAGTGAGAGAAAAGTGCGCACGCGTTATGTTTTTCTCTCCCTCCACGTTGTTTGCCGGGGGGAAATGCGAGCTGGCTTCCAACTCAGTCTGATTGAGAACGCCCGTGAATTGCATAACTGGTTTCGACCAAACTACCATTTGGTAAACTGGAAAAGTGAATCTTATACGCTTTCGGTAATTTCACATGAATTATCGGACATACGGAACGATTATTTATCGGCATTCGCGGTCGCCGACTTTAGTAAATGGTCGACCTACAAAGATTACGCTGGATGGGACATGTGCTACGCATGTCACCACATAGGTTACCACGGCGAGCGATGTTCACCGAGGCAAGTAGTGGGTGGAAAAAAGTCAAGGGTGGCGAAGCTATGACCTAGTATGAGGGTATGAAAACCATAGGTCATATAGGTCCCGTTAGGCTCCTTGGGATGATCGTAACCGATGGTTTAAGACACTGAGTGATATGGCTGATTGTCGTAAACAGTGGCGTTCGTGCCTCTTCTCAATTTCCTCGCAACATTAGTCCACCGAAATTCTAAATTTTCTCTTTGATCCTACTTTCAACCATTCCTGTCTTTCTCCTCATGTTCACCCAAAAGACTGCAAACAAACCCGGCGCAAGTTAGTAGTGAATGGTTATACAAACTGAAACTGAGTTTCACCCTTTACGAGTTGACAGATCCACCAGAATTTAAAGCATTCAAAATGCAATGGAATTTCGTTGGAGGCGGCGGGGTTGTATTGACTGATAATTATGGCACCTCCAATTCCCGAACGGAAGAAAAACCAATATACAGTATGAGCAAGATAGAATGCTGAGCAACGAACACGGGGGTCATAGTATGTCTGAAACCTCGGTCATGTCTAGCTTTTGGTGCGTTCGGAACTGGTCACCCTTGTTGAAGAATAAAATACGTCCAACTACACATCCACTGTTCAACTAATCATCTCAGTTCGAAGGATAACAAATTTTGCAAAGATTGTCTCCCGTATTTTTCTTGCAAAATTATGAGTTCTTCAAACCATTTCTTGCTTTCTGGAGATCTGTGTATAGGATTTCACACAAGTCTGAGTTCAGACTGTGTACCAAACAAATCACGGTACAAAAATCTTTATAAGAAAGATTCATGATTTATTCGTGGGTGCGATACTGCTAGGTTGCCTAGGCCAGAGCAGGTGAATTTGCATCGGAACTTCACAACCGGATCGTTCAGCTAGCCAAAACCTAACCCACGGGCCAGCGGGATGGTGTGTAAAACCACACTCCATTAGGGGCCGGTGTCCAGTTCATTGGATCATGCACCCTTCGGACGGGGTCAAACGTCCAAGGTGCCCAATTCAACTCGACGCCTCATCGGGCTGATCACCACTGGCACAAACAAGACGTTGTGGGTGTGCGCCTCTTCTTGGTTGCTTTGTAATCAGGAATTCTAGCCAACCCCCCTAGGTGAACTGCAGGTAGTTCACCGATCTAGTAGCCCTCGGTGTTGTCTTTCCGTCCTCTCACCTTTTTGGGAAATCACCTCTGCCACGAGAAGGCAGTGAGTAAGGCTTCCTCATCAGAGACTAATTGAGAAGTTTGATCGTACGGGAGCATTTCGCTAGGCTCAAGGGACGGTTGACCGCTCGCAAGCACAGTGAGGTTCTTGAAATCTTACCTTCGTGACAATAGATGAACACCAATAATCAGGACTACCCAGCTGTCCCGTTCTTATTAGGACTCGTCAGAAGTACATATGCTTTTTTATCCCTAAAGCTAAGGGCTATCCCCCCCTGAAAGTCTACATACTTATTGAGTCCCGAAAGGACGAAACAACTGTCGCGTGCTCTGTGTAAACCATTACGCATATTCTTCCATTTCTAGATTCAACCTGAATTTCTTTCACGGATGCTGGTTATGTGATCTGTACTGGCGATTCAAAAACATAACTATGCCCCAGAAAGGACGGATGAGATTTTTGCAAAAGACAAAATGGCTCACTCTACAACTCTGCACGCGCTACTCCCGAAAACGCTGCACTGATAACTGACCACTGCAGTTTATGATAGTTCCTCGTAATTTTATTATTTCAGATTATGCTCATCGGTAGGATATGAGAAAACAGGATCAAAATGAACAGGTGTTGCCAACGCATTATTGACAAGTCTATGCAACTCATATAAGAACCCGGTGTGATCAGGATTTGCTATCTGGTTGCAATGTTTTATTATTATTACACCCCTGGGTGTGATGACATCAGCAACATCAACCAACAGTGCCCATATGGCTCGCTAAAATGAGAATGGCAGATGATGATTGATTAATTGATGCGTATAGGTGTAATTACCTACTTTCAAAACTAAAAAGGTATAGACAGAAAATAGCTGGGAGATCTGTGATGGCGAAGATTAGCGATTCGAACAAAAGGGTTCAGGTCAGCTTCAGTTGGTACGGCCATTTGCCATATAATTTCGGTTGCTGTCTACCCATTTGGATGAATGAGTAGAAGGCGAGGGAATTGAAATGTGAAATGCAATAACAGGG